CCATCGATTAGAGAGCTCAAGTTACTAACGTAAGCCAGAAAGTAACCGGAACCAATTAAAATGGTTACCTTTTCACGTCGCAATAAGCGAGTATAGATAGTTCAATTCAGTTGTGCGTGCGGCCCTATGTGTGCGTGGGCCTGTAAATATACAACTTTCATTCGTGTGGCAGTGTTCTTATCGCTTTTTCTTAAGGGTACAGTCGTTTACGAAAATGTCTAGTTCTTCACGGAGAAAATGTTTAAGGAGTCAGGTAAATATTTTTTAAATTTAGATGTAATTAATATTTATTTTGATTCTATATAAGAAAAAATATATCCTTGTTGACATTTACGTATTATTGTGTTAGACTCGAGAAACCATTGCAAGGTATACGAATTTCTGAAAATAGATGCGAGAGATATATTGGAACTAGTAAGTGATCCAGTTTGCAGTGCAAGTCCAATTTTAATATCGAAATTAAGTAAACATTTAAATAGCGTACGGAAAAGAACAGCAATGGCAGTGGTATCAGAGAGAACAATTACTAATATATTGGATAGGAAAATAAATGAAGGAAAAGAATCTGACTCTAAATTTAAATCTCCGCATAAAGACCGTAAAAAACGTTTAAAAAAGTTAGAATTAGACAACTTTAACGTTGATGTTATACGTTCCACTATTCAAAATTACCATTTAGAACATCGCGAGTTACCTACCTTGCTAACGTTGAAAATAATATTTCAAGATAAACTTAACTATGATGGAAGTATTTCGACTCTGCGTACAGCTTTGTTAAAGTTGGGATACAAATGGCGAAAAACTGTGGATAACAGACGTGTTATTATAGAGCGGCATGACATCCAAAAACTACGATTTTCATACCTAAAAAATTTACTCAGATACCGTCAAGAAAATCGGTGTATCGTATATACAGATGAGAGCTACATCTTAACTAATCATGTGCAAAACAAAGGATGGGGTAATAAAGATGGACCACCTTTAAAGAGAAACCTGTCGAAAGAACAAAGAATTATCATTGTGCATGCTGGTTCAGAACAAGGTTTCGTACCTAACGCACTATTGACATACAAAGCAAATAGTGTTTCTGGTGATTACCACTCTAACATGAACGCAGAAAACTATGAAAAGTGGCTAAAAGAACGTCTAGTACCGAATCTTCCACCTAGCTCTGTGGTTGTGCTTGATAATGCCTCATACCATAACGTTCAAAATGACAGAGCCCCAAATTCTAATTCCAAAAAAATAGAAATGCAGAGATGGCTGACAGAAAAAAATATACCTTTTAATCAAGATATGAAAAAAATTTGAACTGTATGATTTGAATAAAAAAATAAAGAAAAATATATCTGTTACAAGATTGACGACATACTTTAGCCATATGGCATAAAAATTCTTCGACTGCCACCATATCATCCTGAACTAAACCCTATAGAAAATGTGTGAGGAATTTTAAAGAATTATATTGCTTCGCATAATGTCGACCAAAATGTGACAGAAATAATGAAACTCATAAATAAACGTTTAAGTCAAATTGATGAAGGGATGTGGGGTAATACTTGTCGATATGTACAAAAGAAAGAAGAAGAATACTATAGACATTTTGACATGGAGTCAGAATTCATAATTAACCTTGGTGAGAGCAGCGAATCCGAAAATTCATCATTTGATTTTTCAATAAATAAACATTACATTACGAAATAACTCTTTTTTTTTAAACCCGTATATAACCCGTAAATAACTATATTTGTATTTGTACGACTGTACCTCTTGTCACGCACACAAAGTCACTGTATATGTACAAGGTTTACCCACACATAGGGCCGCGCGCACATTTGAGTTCTATACTTCCCTCTCTATTTAATTTCTCAACTCACCATCCTCACCTTAATATCTTGCTCCCTACTTCCGTTACCTGTCCTCTAATCACGACAGAAATCTTCACTCAGTTAATAATCTGCTTCTTTTATGTCCCCCTTACAACTCCGACCTCACTCTTCGTTTTTTGTTCTAGCAGTACTACTCTAGAATGCGTTCCCACTCGAAATCATGATGTTCACAAACCGTTTTTTATTCAAAAAGAAGGTACATGATTTCCTTCTAAATAAAAAGAAATAAAAAATTGAAGGCGTTTTATTGAAGGATAAGGTGTTACGAGGGTAGATTAAAAAGTTAGCTACCTAATATTGTAAAAAATATTATTTTTTTATGACAGAAACCTTGATTGACAAACCATTGCTTGTGGTTGAGCAAAAACGAATAGGCCTAGGCACAATTTCTCGAGACTGTTTGGAGATGTTCGAGGCTAATCCGCAAGATTTTTTTGACAGATTTGTGACAATGGATGAAACTTGTGTTCATCATTTCATTCATTCTTCAGTTCATCATACTTCAGAGCCAAAACAATAATCCAAACAATTGAAAAAATCTGGTGAACTGACCGCAAAGAAAGCCAAGGTAATTTTGTCGGTAGGCAAGATGATGGCATCAGTTTTTTGTGATGCTAAGGGTATCATCATAGTGGACCACCTTGCGAATGTAAAATCAGTAAATTCAGAATACTATTGTGTTCTTTTTCGTCGATTACGAGAAGAGATGAAAGAGAAATGCCCAGAATTACCCAGATAAAAAAGTATTGTTTCATCAGAATAATGTTGAATCAATTTCTCAAATTGTGATTTCGACCTACTGTCTTGAAGACCTTGAAGAATATTTTTTTTAAAACCGATATAGAAGTTTTGGAAAGTGGAAGAAATGCATAGAACCAGATGGAGATTGTGTCCAAAAACGGCTGTTGTTGTGCTTGACGGGCCTGGGCCCGCCAGGGCCTGTTGGTCTAATGGTTAGTGATCCTGAGTGCTGAGCCGGAGGTCGTGGGTGTTATGCCCACCCAGGACAATAATACTGCGTGATGAGCACGATTATTTATTCTGTGTCTGATAGTTTTTGTTTATCAGCAGTCTGATTACCATACTCGATGAGTCCATTGATTCTGCAGCCGGATCTCGTACTGTCTATTCTGTATAGATGGGAAAAAGTAGATAAAACAATTATAGATAGAGATTGATTTAATTAATTTCCTTCAAAATATTTTGTGCATCCATGCATACGAGACGGTTTCAAATTCATGAGTATAAAGTGAGAGTTCTTTCCTTTACTTTGCTTCATGGAGGAAGCAACAAGTATAATACACAACAAGAGATATGTAGCACCTATAAAAAAACAGTGGCACTCCGGGACAGAAGTAAAACCTTGTTTTTTTATTATCACAGGTGTTTTTTGTTTTTTCGATTCCAAAATTGCTGACATGAATATTTATCCATGTTGTACGTATATATACAATATATGTTTATATTATATATAGTTTCTTTTGTTTGTTGTTCAAAAATGTCGAACGCGCCTAAAGAAGTTTACACAATCACATGTGAAATCGCTGTGACTAAAACCAATAATTTCATCAAATAAATATGATTTAAAAGTAGCAACAATTTCCATGTCTGCTCCCTACTGTGTTGTTGGATGTTAACCAAAGATTGAAGACATAACTTTTTTTTTGACGTGACAACGTCTTATAATTCGATGGAGCCGGCTGCACGCACGAAAAAACATGACTCATGCGGCGTTGCCTCGCTCTGAGGCGTTCCATTTAAGGCGTGAAGTGCAAGCGAGAGAGCGGAACGAGTGACAAAGAGGCACAATCGGCCTCCGCGTTCGGCAGCGTTCGACATCTGTCTCTCTCCTACTTGAGTGATCGATGCGTCCGCGTGGACAGCTGCTACTCGTATACAATAACACATTTTTGAAAAATGCAACCATTCCATCAGTATTCTCTTATGACGTTGTCACGTTCAACTATCGTCAGTAAACCGACTTTACAGACAACCGATTTTTTTTTTTTTTTGGCAAACTGTGCCGATGACGACAATTCTGCCAAAGTCGTGTGTAATGAAGGTGCGTGTGTTTGTAGAGCCGTAGAGGGACAAAACACAACCTCTGAAGGACATCACTGCACTGAATGTGATCTAAGACATAACGTTGTCTCTTTCATGCGCAAATAAACCGAACGTGATTGTATTAATGATGTCTTCTAATCCAGCCTGTGTAAAATAATAAAATAAATAAGTATAGGTAAGTATACTGACATACTTAAGTTTTTGTGTAGTAGCTAATGTAGGTAGGTACTTTCTATTGATTTTCTGTAAACTAATTAAAACGAAACATGACCTCAGGTGACCAAAAATTTCCCACAATGAAGTGTGAAACACAGTTCCTATATTTTTGTAGGCGAGTTTTCAACCGTTTAAAACGATTTATTTGTTGCTTGAAATGACAACTTTTTATTTAAATTATTTTAAATCGGTTGTTTTACATCTATAACTTGGTAGATAAATCAGTTCGGAATGTTCGGTTCGCGGGTGCGATGGTTTAAACCACGGGCAAACCGATTCAACTTGGTTCATGCTCATACCGGTTTGAAAAGTCGAATCTGAACTGCCCTTCGGGCTCCGGTCCGCCCGCGCCGGTGGCCTGTGTTGCTCTATATTGGTTAATATAACTGGCCATCCAAACCCTATACCAACCCGTCTGGCCAGCGTGGTATAGTAGGCCAAAACCTCCTTTCTAAGGAGAGGCCTATGTCCAGCAGTGGACTGTTAAAGGCTGTTGATGATGATGATGATGATGATGAACTGGCCATCTCCTATTATGGTTTCTTGATACGTTCTGTGAGTGCGAAAGCACTACAATCAAAGTTCATTTTTATTTGACACAGACTGAGATGAGATCCAAACTCTCGGATTTATAGTGATCTATGATCCAAACGGTAATATTTGCAAAGTAAATTGCGACGAAACTGATAATCGTGACTTTGGAACGCGAGTGTCAAAGTGACAATATGAGTATGACATTTGACATTAATGTTATGATAGTCGGCACTCGGCTGTAGTCTTGATGTTAATACAAAATTACAATTTGGATTCGACTATTACATTTTTGTAAAGATGTCGGATCCTACTATACAAACATTCTGTTGCCATCACACGGGAAATAGAGAAGATTTAGCGGTTAGAATTATGGACGAATTTAATACTGATTCTTACAATTCCGTATGTTTAGTTTCATCCACCGTCGGAATTCTAGGATCAATTTATCAGGTACTCTCCTTTATTAAATACTCAGGAACTCTCCTTTAGTAAATGTAGCCTCATTAATGGCAATGCAGTTGTATTCCATGGCATTTCTATATCTATCTATCTATAATTCTCAAAAAGTAGTTGGTTCTTAAAAGTAATGTATTTCTAATACAGAAGTATAGTTTTATAATAATATTGTTTTTTATAGATAACAAATTTTATCTAGTATTAATATATTGTCTGTAATATTTTAGATTTATCCAGATGTTATAAATCGAATACAGACAGGGATAGGCTCCACACGAGGACGTCGTATCATTATTTGGTTAGCTGTTGCAGACTTGTTGGCATCATTTGGTAAATAGCCCTGTTTCATTAGGTGCTCCTTTTCTATTGTTATCTTAATAATAATAAATAAATTTATCAGATAAGGGGAATTATTTTCAAAAGTAAACATGTTCATTTTGTTGTTGTAGGTGTACTTGTACGATCTTCATTGTGGCTGAGATTTAAAAATATTATGCCTTTGCCAGATGACGATGTCAGTGTATTATTCTGTAGCATTGTTTCGGTGAGTGATTATTACAAGATTTTCATCTCATAACTAAATTGTGGTTCTGTATATAAACACTTAAATATTTAGGATTTCATTTCATTTTAGGATTCCATTTCATGTACAGTCTTATTCTCAATTACTTGATGTTTGTTTGTTATGCTTTCACCCCTAAACCACTGAACTGATTTTAAAAATTATTTTACCTATGGCAAGCTACATTATCAGCTACATTACCGTGATAACCAACATACATGGAGCAGGCAGAGTCGCAGGCAAAAATTTGTATTGTATAAAATTTGGTATGCTATTTACAGCAAATAGCTCTTAATCAAACAATAAAACATGTACTTTACTCAACCTGACTATAAAAATGAGCTACTGAGTGTAGTACACATTTAATTATTATGTAATTTATTAAACTAGATTTTTAACACATTACAGGCATGGACACAATACTTTTACACTGTGACTTGGTTTTGGACATTTTTCTATGCCATAGACACATGGCTTACTATAAAAGGGCGAGATTCTCATACACTCCTTTACCATTCTATAGCATGGGGAGTTCCAGCCGCCACCACAAGCATTGGACTTTCTATTCTTTACATACCAAATGCTAAGTAAGTTCTTACTTTTTGTAATTAATTTAAGAACATTGTGTTCTTATCAGCCATACATACATTTATTGCAAACAACAACTGCGCTCTATGCTTCACCATCATTAGTAGATAACTCTAATTTTTATTTTCAAAGACATTACCTATTTATTTTATTTTAGATCACAGTAAAAACGGCTATTAAAAAGATTTTATTAATTTGTAAAAAAGTCAGATAACTGGTTTAGTTACCATTTTTAATATACATAAGATAAGATATATCGGGGCCTATTGATCAGATCACATGTTATGTAAAGTTACCGAAAAACTAGTTATGTAAAGCTTATTGATATAATAACTAGACTTCAAATGTGCAGATTATGATTAAGATTTTTTTGTGTAAGTATGTTACTTTGATTTTCATTATGTTAATTCCAGGTGTCACAATTTGCCAAATGTAACCAGCGCCATATACAAAATATTACCTAACTATTGTGCTACATATCTACCCATTGCCATGGTTATGATAGTCAATCCAATAATGTATGTTTTGTCAAGCAAAGATGTTGAAATGGCTGTAGCAATCCCACTTGCCCAGGTAAGGAAATGAAATGATATTTATTTCTGCAAGTAAATCTTTTCAGATATTTTTACAAGTCGAACTTTACAACTAGAAGGTGCTGGTATTTTCTAAGACTCACTATGGGAAGAAACGCCGAATCAAACCACAGAGGTGTCTTTTTTTATTAAGTCTGTGTACAATGTTAAAGAGAACTATGTGACTGCAGTATAGGGTCTGGGTTCGCCTTTTGAAGAAAGGACTAGTGTTGAGTTGACCCGTCCATACAGACGACCGACGAACCCCAGCCATCGTATAGGATAAATGATACAGTCAGGATCAAAAACCTGGAACACGACACTACAGCAGCAGCAGCAGGACACTTGAGTAGGCCGTGGACATACTCAAAACCACCAGTAGGTTACTGAAATATGAACTAACATTACAAGCCTACACTATACTCATATTTACAAACTTACACAAAAAAAAACTATACAATTCAATTTCAAACAAACAAATTGAAAACAAACAAAATACGAAAAATTAAATGTTTTTCAAATGAGGGAGTGAGCAGCATCAATCCCAAGCAAATTTGTCATCTAAATAATCTGTAACCATGTAGTAAGCATTTTCACATAGTTTTTGTTTTACTAAGGAATTAAATTTTTAATACTTCATTCATTGAAGTTTGCTTGGAATTTTATTGTTGAAAAGACTTGCTTACTTTTTGTAGACACGGTTGTTAACGCGAGTTTATCTTTATTTCTAGTGTTTATTTGGTAATTTTTGCTAAACTTTGTGAATAAATGAATATTTTTCCACTTACCAGTGGGTGATTATGTCGGACTCGAACCGACCGAAAACAGCACGCCGTCTCCAGGTACCAGTAGCCGGGGAACCAGGTATACCCTAGAAAGGAAAGCCCCTCGACGTACCTCGGGCCTTCCACGGCTCATAGATGACCCCTCCTGTGTGGGAACCCAGATGTTCCCTTCCTGCCCCTTCGGGCGTGCGCGCTCCGTAGCGCATCGCGTCACCACCCACCCCTGCCTGCTTCTGCTAGAGTGACAGATGGCCTAACCTGTCACCCTCAGGCCTGCGCTTATGGAGGACGGAGCTCGCTCTGCGACCTTCGAGCGCTCGAGCCGTCTGCGGTACCTAGCCCGTTCTCGGGCCTGGCGAGCCGGGAGAGTTGTGAACCTCTCCCGGTCACGCTCCGCCATCTCCTTGCATAACCTGCTCTCAGAAGGAGACGGCGGAGTTCCACGCACTCTCGCTCCGCACCATGGCTGCAATCATGTTACCGAGCGAGAGAACGCCTACCCCGATGGCCGCCACGAGGTCACGTCTCTGCTCCACCCACGCCGGGCAACCTGCTAGCGTGTGGAGCGCCGTGTCCACGGTCCGGCCATCGCAGTGGTGGCACCCAGGCGTTGGGCTCCTTGCGGATCAGACACAGGTGATCCTCGAAGCATAGAATCGCATACCCTGACATCGAAAAGACTTGCTTACTTGTTGTAGTCTTAGTGGTTGGCAACACGAGTTTATCTTTATTTCTAGTGTTTATATTATAAATGTCACTAAACTTTGTGCATAAATGAATACTCTTCTTAACATGCAAATCTTCATTCTTATATATTTAGATGCGACTGTCATAATACCAATTTCTTTAAACTTATCCCTTAGTGACTACTTATAACTGAGATTATGAATCGCAACACAAAGATACTTTGAATGAATGTTAGTAGCATTTCCCCACAACAAAATACCATATAACATAACACTATGAAAATAGCCAAAATACACAAGGGGAAATTGTATTTTAATCATAATAACATCTCAAAGTTTATCAGACCCTGTCATGTCATGTAATGTAATGTGTATTTCAAATTTAATATTAACCATTACTTCAAACCAGTTTGATTATGGTTTAATCCCTGTTAAATGATCTTACTTGTAACTTATCATTGAGTTCAAAATTGTCCATGTTTATTGCAAAATACAAGTGGTAAATTGATAATTGATTGATAATTGACGACCGGATGGCGTAGTGGTTTGTGTAACGGACTGCTATTCCAAAGGTCGCGGGTTCGATTCCCGCTCAAGTCAAACATTTGTGTGCATGAACATTTGATGTTTGATTTGGTCTGGGTGTTTCTATGTATAATGTGTATGTATTTACAAAAAAAAAGTATATATGTATTTATATCAGTTGTCTAGTACCCATAGTACAAGCTCTGCTTAGTTTGGGACTACATGGCATGTGTATGTGGTAGAATATTGTTATTATTCTCTTTATTTACTTTATATACATATTATCTACATTTTTAAACATACTCTTTATAAAAAAATACATTTAAAAATATAAAAAATAGTAGACCACCGACATCGGGTACAGGGACCAAGACACCGGTGGTTAGGACTCCAAAGATAGGAACCTCCTCACTATACGAGCCGTGTCAAGGAGGACTGCCTTCTGCATCAGACCCTTGATCCAGCCGTCCAAGCCTCCTCTTAAGGTGTTGGTCGAGGCTCTTGGCTATCAATCCGTGAGCAGATACGACTATCGGAACAATGATCACTGAATCAACATTCCACATATCGACAATCTCGTGAGATAAATCCAAATATATTATTATTATTATTATAATCTTCACAGAATTAGGTTTTACCTTACTTTCTTCATCTCAAAAAATTAATTAATAATAATTTCGCAGAAAAATCCAAACAGATTTTAGGGATTAAATAAACAACAACCTCTATTTATGTTGATCAGATTTTTAACACATAACATTCAATTTTGGTTAAGGAATGTTACATCCTCTGGTTGTCTTTTGACATAGACCTAATCCAGCTTCCTGGCATCATATTTATTACACAATTATTTGCCCTGTTTTTCTCTACCTTTGCAGTCCTAGCTCCGTCTTCCGGTACGTGGTCGCCCCTCGAGAACTTTGGGCATATCGGCCGTGTTTTCTGCGACCAATGTGGTCCACCCATTGCCATTTAAGTTTGGCAATTCAATGTCAGTGGACATTCCTCGGAGAATTGCCAAACTTAAATCATGTAGAGATCCGCAGACGAACCAAGGTCACTACCTTGGTTCGTCTGCCGATCTCTACATTCATGATTCGATCACGCAGGGGAACTTCGAGCATTACTCTCGCCAGTGCTCTTTGCGTGACTTTGAGCCTTATAAGGCTTATTGTGACCGACCACATCTTTGTGCCGGAAGTCATCACTAGCAACACTTTCAACTTTTAAAAACTTTCCTTCATCTTGAGACATTGTATTTGGGGCGAGAAAATGTCATGCAGCTTCCGGAGAGCTGCCCAGCCACGTTTGATTTGACGATTGATGTCTTTTTCAAAGTTGGACCTACCTTGCTGGACAGTTTGTCCTAGGTATACGAGCGTAGTCTCCAATTTTCACTGGAGTGGGTGTCACATGGACCTTCGACATAATTTTCGTTCTTATTTTCACCCTTATTTTTTAACACCCACTCGTTTAGAGACCCTACTAAGGCCATCGAGCAGTGTGTTATTATAATATGTGTGCATTTCCAATGTTTAAATAATTAAAACTTTACACTAATTATTTTTATTCAGATTTTAACAACATTATTTATTTGTAGTTACATTTATTTATTGCGGTTAATGATTGTGTTATTTTCATTAAAATGCAGAAATAATTAATTAGACTCGCCGGTGGGTCTAGTGGTTAGTGGACCTGATTGCTGAGAGTAGTGTATAGGTCATGGGTTCTATTCTTACCTAAAACAAATAACTGTGTGATAAGCACGGTCATGTGATCTGTAGGTAATAATAGGTGTAATTAATTTACAATATACCTATATAAGTGTACTTAGAAATATAGTTATCATGGCACGGGCTCTACCCTGGTTTGGGATTAGATGGTCGTATATTGATGTCTGAAATTATTATAATCTAATAAATAAATATCTCGTGTCACGCTAATTGTAGTCGCAATGCTCCTTCACGGCCAGTCCGATTTTTTAAATAGTAAGTTATTATTTAAATATTATATTATATTCCTATTGTGAGGTCTCACGACGTGATATCACCTTAGGGCTTATTCATAGATTTATCGTAACTCGGGTTTTGGCTAGTTGCCTCGTTTTGTTAGGTACCTAACCTCGCTCTATTTGTATTGGTTTCAGTTTACCAGCAAGGAGAGGAGAGTAGTAGATATATTAAGACTGAAGTTTTTTATGATCAATGTTGTGTTTTACTTGTGCTGGTTACCAAATCTTATTAATGGAATACTACTTTGGACTATGTGGTTCAACATGCCAGTTAAAGTTATCATCACTATATGGTATATTATGGTATGTATTATTTTTAGATTTCCTTACTCAAATATGCTTAAAGAGGGATATCATCTTACAATATACTCCAAATTCTTAACCTTCGACTATAATTCTTATAATAATGATATAGAGGTATGAAATAAAGAAGTATGAAAAAATTTAATATCTTTAATTATCAGACAAAAATAAAGCACAGCTAGCAAAGTGTGATCATTTTAGTAAATCATTTCAAAAAGTATTCAACCTTAAATTCATTTATTCTTGCGATGTCCCTAAGGCACTCCCCGACCCGTATCTGGTCAGATCTCTTATACAAGATGTACTACATCCGATAACAAGGTAGTTGGAATTATTACGGTTGAAAAGGCACTCGTATACCTCAAAAGAAAAAGTATTATATTAAAAAAAAAAATTGGTTTTATGAAAACCCTGCTTTTACCTGCACCTTTGCTTGCATATTCAGGTTTCCTTAGGGTGTTCCCCAGAAAACTAGAATACAGTACAAAAGTACTGTTGTACTTTTGTACTGTATTCTAGTTTTCTGAATGAATCTAATCCTGACAACATGTGTGCATTGAAAGCCTGAAAGCATTACTAAGGAATACATTCACTTTCGCATTTCCGATTATTATATAGCTGTATTTATAATATATTTAACTACATAATAACTTTTTCTTTGACAGGCTTTGACGAACCCCATGCAAGCTTTATTGAACGCACTTGTGTATCGAAAATGGAATACAAATAAATGGATGTATGTCCCATCTATGAGTAAAGATATACATAGAGAATTCCATTTCTATGATGAGAAGTCTCCGTTATTAGGCTCAGAACCCCCGCGACTACACTTATCACCCATCCCTCCAAGTATTAATAATTACGCTACATTATGATCTAACGTAAAATGATGAACAGTATTGTTTGTATTTTGTTACTTTTTTATATGAATATACAAGTTTTTGAATCATTTTAAATTGGGTTTTCTTAGTAATCCGATAAAATATACTTTGAAGAAATTTGGTCTTAAGTTTTATTTATATTTAGGTTAAGCGTAATTGTACCTACCCTGGTGTGTCCAAATCTTGCAAGGAAAAGTTAACCCCCTTCCGAATAAACGTACGGGAATTAATTACTAAGGAATTAAATACTCAGAAGTAAGTAGGTACGTCATTATTTTGGGAAACAATAATAGTATATTTAGGAAAAAATCACAATCTGTTCGATAAGTAGAACCAACGTGATTTATTATTCTTAAATGTCCTATTAGCAGACCGGGATCTAGGGTGGGGAGGTCAAACCGGGGATCAATTTAAAACAAAATATTATACATATTATAATTACAAAATGCTTTCTAAATTATTAAATACATTTTAACGAAGTAGGTACCTTTTTTCTCGTATAAATGGATAGACAATTTGATAATTATAACGTCAATTTGATTTTAAAACGCCCAGTGCAGCGCAGCAGAAAGCAGCATCGAATGGCGGCATTTTCAATTTAAATTAAGTTTTTTTCACTCATTTTTACCCTTCGACTAGAATAAATAAAAAATCAGGAGTCTACGAATTCTAGAATCCATCGGGCACGTTCAAGCTTTGGTTATTTTGGATCTGAATAGTGTTGCGTAATATTAAATCTTAATGTCTCTGTGCCCGTTAAACTTTCCTTGACTTGATTTGAAGAAAAAAAATTGAACAACGAAATAATTATTTATTCCGGTCATCGACCTACTAACTAACATTACGGTATTTGCCGTCATGTACAAACTTTATTGTAGTTGGTTTTATATTTTCCTCGGCTATTTATATTCGTGATTCAGTTTGTTTAAATATTTAACAAGAATCGACACGCAAGGCAATACCTGTCGACCGTACGACATACTCTTTCAAATATCGGGTATCCAAATATTATGAATATTAATAGTGAAGTGCAGTGCCAGAGTTCTTAGTTTTTTACAGAAAATCTGAAGTATGAAACTGATTTACAAAAAAATACTTTTTTAACATAATAGGCATTTTATTACATAAGTATATATACATTATTAGTTGATTTACAATATATAATAATAACTATCACATATCATGATCATTTTCCGGTGGGGCCATAGTTAAATCTGTTACATCTTTTACAATCATATGGGCTATTTGCCAGGCCATTTCCTCTTCAACCTTAGATGTATTCATAGGCACAAAGCGGCTCACCATTTTCCTTAGCACAGATCTATCTTTTTTATCAGGGTCAGGTTCAAACTTTGATTCAAACCTACCTAAACTATTAACTCTTCCTAGACTTAAGCCATCGTGTCTTCTTTGCCATAGGGCATCAGCATTATAAAGCTGATTCGAGTCTATTGTCATGTCAGGTACAGAGAGATTACGTTTCTTTTTAAGGAAGACAGGGTCTCCCATGGCAAGAAGAGTATTTTGTGTGCTAATACTAAATTCACTGCTACAATCAGAATGAGACTTGTGGTTAGATGACCACATATTATCAACAGAATGTATCATTTCTGAAAGGTACTTAAAATAAAGTTCCGATTCTAAAAATGTTTTAACATATTGAGTTAGTGTCTTGAATACAATTTGATAAGGCAAATCAAAACATGTTGGCAGTGGCCCTTCTTCTCTACATATATCACTTTCTATTTTTAGTCTAATGTCTGTAGGAAACCCAACTGGGTTTGTGGCTTGCAGAGAAAAATATTTATCATAAATGACTATAGCATCAGCTTGAGCTTGCTCAGAGCTTGTCATATTGGCATTCATTAAATTATCTCGAAAGTGCATAATGGCCATTAAAAATTCTAATAATACCCTACAAGATTCCTGTTCCAGAAATTCTGTGAAATAGAATAGGATTGTTTCGTTATGTATAATATCTGTGAGATTAAGGGAGCCACTGGTTAATACATCAATTTGTGCTTTAATATAATATGGACTGCTAATAAAATCATTGAATTGGGATTCCATTTGGTTAAACAAAATGTCTTGTACCGGTTTAAAGCAGTCTTCTTTTATCTGGCCTTCAGGCTGGCATATGTTAGATATAATGCATTTTCTATAATTGTCTGGTAAGTCAAGTTGGTATGGAGCTTCTAAAGCAACATATTTTTTGAATAATTTTACAGCCTGCTCAGTAATGCTTCCTTGTTGACTACTGTAACTGGTAGAGTCTATGTTTTCCAATTTATGTTCAGTTAGGTTTCCACATGAACTTATAGAGCAATTGTTCAATTGTTTTGAATTGCTAGTACTAGTAAAAATATCACTATTGTCCTTCCAATTGAATATTTGTGACTTATCTTTATAGTTTTGTTTCAATAAACACTGGCACTGAAGATCCAAACTTTGAGTTCTGCATATCTTTAAATAATTATTCGTATTCTCATTAGCATTTCTGGTATTGGATAATAGTTTTTTAAAATCTTCTATTTCCAACCAACATTTTATGAGTACATTTTTTCCTATTGTTTCCAAGAATTGTATAAAGTATTTTATGGCATTCTTGTCATTAAGAATATCATGTAAATTTAATGACAGTTTAGAAGATTTTTCAAACATTTGTTTGGAATCTGTAAATCAATAGTGAATCTTTCACAATTTGAAATTAAAATCATTAATTTCCATTATCAACATTATTAGCTACTCATCGATAACATAACTACCTATACGTACTCACCTTCATCATGATCAAGTAAAATCTGTGTATTAATAAAACTTTTGATATCAGGTCTTTCTGTCTTTTTTATTTCTGGAGGGCGCACAGGGCATCCACTTTTACCTTTCGCTAAAATTTAAATTAAGGTTATTAACTTTTGATGGATAATTCAATCATGTAGATAAGCGGCGTAGTAGGATAAAGGAGAGAAAAATTGCACCTAAGTTAATTAATACTTTACCTGCACTTTTCCAAAACTTCATCATTTTTGTATAAATGCTTCGTTATACGTGTCGATTGTACCTATGAATAATCGTGGAAGTAATCTACGTAAGCTCTTCATAAGTGCGTTTTATGACCATAAGCGTAAACAATAATACGGGAATGAAAACAATTTGTTTATATGTAGTGGTGGATTACGTTTACGTCTGAAATGTCAGCTGTGTCAAGTTAATTGGGTCATAGTGTATAGAGTTAAAAAAAAGGACCTTACATTTTGGTTACATTTGGAATCTAGTATTTTGCCTGTATCATGTTAGATACAGTTTAATAACTTTTGGTATTATGTTTTTTCAAAGGATAAAAATAAATGTTTTGGTTTTTATATAGTTAACATAGATACCTAAAAAAGTATACCTACTATATACAACCGTATATTTAATTAATGAAATCAATGTTATAACGTAGGCAATTGTTATGTTAAATAAATTGTTTAAACGTTCCTAAACTTTAATTCTTACTATAAGTTGTAGCTATTGGAAGTAACCGCGTCAAGAAGTCGACTTAAACTCAAATAGCGTTTGGACCGGTACGTATATATCTTTATTTATGAATATTGGAATTCCTTTGTAAAGATTAACCTAACGGCAACTCAGGTAAATTAATTCACTTCAGATTCTTAGGAACATAAAAATTCAATTCCTGAAATTGTTCTAGATGCAATAAAATCAGTAGATGAGAGATGATTCTGATTTATTAGTACGCTGCTTAGTAGGATACACTCAAAAACGGTTATGTGCTGATTTAAAGTTGCGTTGTTAACGAAAGCGTATGTGTAATAAATACTAATAGTGAGTCAACCCAGCCACTTAGAGTAGCAACGCTGGGGCCAGGCATGAAGGAGAAGCGGCATCCTCCTTCTGTTCGCTTGCGACGTCTGCGGTAGTACCGGCTGGCTTCACTTGTTAACCGGTACGCCCGTTCAGGAGTGTCATGTTCATCAGTTGCACGCGTTTGGTGGAGCACAAGATAACTCGCAATATTTTTATTATTTAACTAACCTACAGCAGTACGCTTATCACTTTAGTTAATAATAATATAATATGAGAGAAGGAGCACATAATAAAACTCTAAGTGTGGTTTAATATATATTTACATATAATTACAAAAAATACTTAAATTACTCTTTTAATTGTGTATGTATGTATTAATATTCATAAATGTATGGAATTAACAATACATTTATGAATATTATTTAAAATAATTACCTAAAATTAAAATTTTAATATCGTAATGGAATGCTGCACTCATCATATGATTCTAAGAATTCAATTTTACCAAAATCATTTCGCAATATGTTCACGCAATTAAACTCACGAAACGAAAGAAACGAAATAAAATATTCTCTAATACCTATAAAATTTTAACCTGTTTGATATATTTTATTCAACCTTTTATCCAATATTTTAGACAGAGTAGGTACCCAAGATACTGCTAAATAGGTAAAATATATCGTATTATATTTAGCAGTTCCTACCTACGATCGTGATCGTTTTCAAACCGACTTCGAAAACACAAAATAGGGTATCAATTCGGCTGTTTTTTTTTCTTATATGTTTGTTAGGCGATATCTCCGTTAAGTGTAAACTGATTTTCAAATTTTTTTTTTGTAATCGTAAGGGTATACTTACAAGGTGGTCCCATTTGCATTACAACCAAATCAGGATCTGATGATGGGATCCTAGAGAAATCGATAGAAACCGAAAAAAATTACAGTGTTTTAGCTTGTTTCTCTAGCTATATAGGTGTTTGCGTTTAGTAGTCGTTATGTCATGTTGCTGAGCTGTTGATGGAAAGGTCCTTGACCTTTAGGAGTTAGGTTAAAATTAAAAAATCGAATCATGTATAAAGAATAAAATAAGGTCTTTATTTTATTCTTTCAAGATATTTGTCAGGTGTTTGGGTTGGGTTACAGAGATATTTGCACAAGATAGTAATAACTGATATTACAAAACATTTTGACAAAAAAATTGGGAGAGTATATTTCCCCTTTCCATTGAACCAGAAGAAATAATAATATAATATAATATAATTTATTACATAAACATTGTGACAAAAATATGGCGTCTCCTTTTAAGTAAAAGAATACCTGTGCCAGGAGACTCCATCTTATATAGTGTCACAGTTGTGTGTTTAGAAATAAAATAAAAATAAAAAACTAACAATACATAACAATAAGTAATGAATCCACCTTATATGCTTACAAACACTGCATTTGACAACATAAAAATGTTCTATTATGACTTCCAAAAATGGATATTTATAAATGAATGGAGAAAATACATTGGTTGACATCTGGGTTCAAAGTATATCCTTTATCAGTACCTATCAATTATCTGTATCACAATACTTGTCCAGTCACATAAAACGCTTTAGAAGCGATTTCACCTCTGCTATAATGCTACTTAGTGTTGGAAAATTAAGTAATGTGGCAAACAATATATTTTCGGGTTTAAATGTAACATCTTAGTACCTTATCTAAAGAAAGTAACGGACTTATTAAACTATATTTAATATAATCTAATATACTACAGTTCGGTAGTATACTCGTATATTACAGTACCTAGGGTTTTAATTAGTTACTCATTACAAACATATCTTACACTAAAAATTGAAAAATAAATCCTTTAAAAAAAAGTTGAACCGACTTCAAACAATAGGTAATGACAAAGAGCACTAGAAATTAAAAAATAATTACAAATCGAAGTAAAAAACTATAATAACTGCGACTCTCCTAGCATATAATTTTCTCCGGTAGATAAAAAGGGAAGAATAGAGATAGTTCGAAAGTGTTCAGGAACTGAAGGGTTATTATTTTTTGGTAGAGGAATAATATAAGCCTTGCGCCACAAAGAGGGAAAGGTATCGGAGTCGAGAGAGAAGTTGATTTTGTGAGTAATTACTGAAAGAATAAAGTCTAGGATGATGACAATCATGTGACGGCTAATGCCATCACACCCCACAGCATTCGAACGAATAGATAGAATAATATTCTTGATATCCTCAGGAGACACCGGCGAAAATCCAAACGAGTCAGTAGTGGGATTGGTAAGACCAGATATGAAGTGTAGAGTTTGACACTTAGTTTGAAGATCCAGCATCGCTGTGGTTGAGAAATGACGGTTGATATCATTAAAACCAATTTTATTGTTAAACACGGGATGTTGTTGTTTACTAATTCCTAGAGTACCAAGAAATTTCCAGATACTGGACGAAGAAGAAGACTATGATTTGAAGAATATGTCCTCGTTTAGCGTTGCGTATCACCTGGTTGCATCGATTCCTTGCAGCCTTATAAAGGTTCAATTTTCTTGAAACGAAGAAAGGACTGGTCCCTTCGTCTCATAGTGGTTCCGACCTGTTCATTCATCTAAGGAGCCTGGGCACGTTTTAATTTTACCCTCCCAATAGGAGCGTGGACGTCATACAATCAAAAGAGAATATATCGAGTGATCAAGGACAATGGGACAAGATAACTCATTTCACCTACCCTAAATAATTTGGGAAAAGGATAGGAAGATGGTGATGATGATGATTATGTTTCACCTAGAGTTTAATAAAATTAAGTTCTTAAACTTATTTTTACCATAAGAAACATTACATACTACAAAGCAATCCTTCTGTCGCTAGACTAAACATAGGTGCAAAGTTATCGGAGATACAGAGGATATTTAGACAAAATATGTCTGTGAAGGCATTTAGTACTTACATACTTGTATGTATATACATATATGATTTTCTCATGTGCATTTCGAATGTTTGCTTATGGCAATGACACCAGGTAGCCAAGTAGGTAATATGATATTCTTATAAGTACTATATTTGTGGCGTTACGTATACTTAGTACAGGTTTTTGAATAGGTGCAATTAAAGGATCTTGTCAGCTTTAAAAGGCATTCCGCTATCAAATCTTAATACTCATACAGTTATATTGCTGGCATCGACCTACAATTATCCATAAACTTCGTCATGCTAATATTACATTTCGTTCCTCGAGTTTTACTTTTGTCATGCTGTATTCGAGGTTTGCACTCTTAACGTTTAAGTAGGTTAAGAAGATTAAATAATCCTTATCGTTAAGTTTTTGGATGCAGATAAGTAGATACCAAAATTGATGTGATACAACTTAGTCTGTAGATATTGGTGCATAAATATTTTTTCTTTGAATTAACGCCCATTCCTAGTTATGGTACGATTCCAATATAGCAGGTATTCCTAAACTATTTCGGGCAAGAGACCCCTTTTCTAAAAATAAATTGATACCTCAGACCCCTATAGCCAAATTACTGCACGCTTATCGACTTGTTGAGTTTTTTAAAAGTACAACAATGATACTTCCAACTAAAATATTTGTCATTCTTATAACAAGTCGGTACATATAACTAATACTGTATCTTGAAAGTTTCAAATGAGAACTTGTGTTAATTAATGAGGGTTGATTTTAAGACCTCTTCGACCCCCAAAATCAGTATTCGTTTATGTCGACCCCTAGGAAACCAATTTCGACCCCAAGGGGTCGATATCAACAACTTTGGGAATCCCTGCAATATAGCAACATTTAAAAATTGTTTCTATCTGACTGTCAACTTCGTCTGCGTCTCTTAAAAGGTACATCCCCGTTTTTGAAACATTTTTCATTGACGCTCCTATTGGTGGTAGCGTGAAGTTGTATGGCCTTCTTCACTAAAAAACTCAAACTCAAAATATCTAGTAGAGATTAGCGCGTTCAACCAAACAAACAAACCCTTCTATATGATATTGCCATAGATTTGTTCACTCGATGTAGCTTTTGGGTCTTACAATTTTTTTGTGTAGAACGAAACCCATATAATATTCAGCAGCAATCATTAACGTGACAACAACCTGGCGTTGTCCTTATTTCTGTTGATTGCCTCATGTTTGATTCTTCCAATAGTAACAGCGGTATGACGTGAGATCACTCAATTAGTATGCTTCGCACACGACTAGCTGTCGTGGGTAGAGTTTA